AAGGGAGGCTTTGTGTACAAGGGAGTGAACCACCACGGATGGATGAAGAAGCGCCGCACGAAGCTCCTGCGTCACGAATGGCAAGACCACCACTTCCGCCTCCAGGGCACACAGCTAGCTATGCATCCCAATGAGCTGCCATCTTCATCCGCACTGCAGACGATCGACGTGGACGACTACGCAGTAGCATGCTCATCGATCGCTTCCAACAAGCTCTCCGCCAAGTTCAAGGCCCTAAAGCTCTCATCGGGCCATCACAAGGAGAAGTCAGCTGCTTCTACTCCTGCATTTGAGTTCCAGCTTGTGCCTGCCGCACCTGGCAAAGGCGATGTCAAGAAGGTGATGCCCAACGGCAAGGTCCAGCACTTTGCTGTGACTACCAAAGACCAGAGAATTGACTGGATGCGTGAGCTCATGTTGGCTAAGGCCTTGAAGGCTAAGAGCGACGGCTACGAAGTCAATGTCAATGGCGCTAACATGTGATGGCTACACTTACATGGCCATCACACTTTCCTTTACTAGTCTGTTTTTGTTTCGATTGTTTTTGGTCTAGCAAGCGAGCGTATGTTTTGTCGTCTTCTTGATTTCTGCGCAATCTCCTCTTCCTCAGTCCGATCATGATCCGCTATTATACCCTTTCCGTTGTTCTTTTTGTTTTGCGCCATCCTGCATGTTACTGCTATTTGTGTCTTCTCCCAATCTCTTGGAGGCAGCATATATTTACTTTCACTACTGCATACATCTAAAGACTTGGAACGCTGAGCGGGGCCGCAAGGTCAGGGAACATTTGGTTATTCTTTGGTTTGAACATGGTAATGTCTTGGTCATTTTGCTCGAGCGTGGAGGTCTTGCAACAATCACTCCTTGAATTGGGTGGTATTTTTTGCTTTGTCTAAAAGCTGTCCTTATGTTGAGATGAAGTGAGATGGATGCAAATGTGGGGCGGGAAGGTGAAGGAACATCTAGGTACTATCCATGAACACGAATGAACGTCATACTACAAACTCTTCCTCCATCCACCCATCGCCGTGCTTCCACGTATAGATACCACTTCATCACCGCCTTCCGAAGCATCCATGCTCGTCACTTTCTTTAAAACACTCGGTCTCCGACGTTGTTCTCGTGGGGTCGCCCCGGCGGTGTGCGTTGTTCTCTCCCGGCCGAAAGCAGCCCCATCACGAAACCACGTCGGCCCCCGAATACGTCAACCACGAATATAGTCAACTTATCCACATAATACCGCTAATTATGATCCATTACTTGTTATTCTTATTCCAAATTCTTTCCGTTGCTAAAATCAATCTTTAAAGCCCTAAAACACACATGCCACCTGGTCCGCTCGCTTGGTTTCGCGCATGAACCTCCATCACTCGCATGTGAAACGTCACCCGATATGTGACATGCTAAGCGATAATGTGCGATACGTTCAGCTCAATCGTTCGTTGACAAGGCATGTTGTTAAATGCCTTGGACGGTTAGTGTACCGCAGGGCTGGATCGGGCTGTGAGGTGACAAATGTTTGATATTGCGATACTCATCAAATGACACATTAAAGTTTTGAGTGTGGAGTTTTGGCAATACGACGGTCCGGCGACAGGGCATTCATTGGAATCTTGGATATGTTTGTGTGACTTCGGTGAAACGGGATGATATTTATTGGAAACGAATATGCGAAATATCGACTTATTGGAAAGTGGGCGAGACTGGGGGGAAATGGAGCTGAAGCCGTACACCAACTTCAACCTCATCTCTACTTCCATCGCTCCTCCGAGGTTGCATTGTTCTCAGTTCAGCTCGTAGGCAAAACAGACATTCATTCCGCGTCGCACAACCTCCGACTCGCTCCCTCGCCGAGAAGTTTGATAGCACAATCCCCATCTTCTCCACCACCATCACACAAGTCCATGCCAGCGACCAAGGAGCTCAATCTTAGAGCCTCCCTCTCGGTGCTCCTAGACGACCGCAAACGTGTGAATGACATCGGCTACCTGCATAGGTGCACTCTTTTCCAACTAGATGATGCACGTTACAAGGCAAGGTCGCACTGACAGCTGTCAAAATCTCTGGTGCGTCGTGACATGAGCGCGAAGTCATGGTAGTGTCGGTAGTGATGGACCATGGGCGCGGAGATTGTTGCTGTTACGGTGGTAGCTTGAGCGGCTATTCCGAGGGGAGCACGTGTGATGAGTTGGACGAGGCGATGTTGTACGAACATGCGTATGGAGTCGGAGTTCGACTACGTGACCATTGCTTGAAGCTCGGTATGGAAGACCAGATGCATAGTTTGGGGCTGTGTATATGAGCTGACAACGGACGATCAAAGCCACACCGATGTTGTTCAGTAAGTGTGGTATGAATGATTGGATAGTGGAAGGATGATCATGCCAGCAAAACCGCAACGTGGTGGAAGCATGGACACGAATATATTACTAGATACCAAGAAGGAAATCGAGCAAGCTCGTACAGTTTGACTATTACATACATATATAAGAAAAAGAATTAACCAGACGTCTGCCACCATGTATGTACAAACTCTCCATGCCACGAACGTGGTCCAAGAGGTGGGAGACCGGTCAAGCTCTGTCCGTGTACTGATGAGGTACCAGAACATGCCTCATGACTGAGACAGTGTTGTGTAGAGCTATCGGTATAATAACACAAGACTCGTCGCGTAGTTGTCGATGGTCATACTGCAAGTGTAGCTGGCGTGTGTATGACTTGCGAATGATCGAGTGTGCGTCGAGTGTTCTGAATCGAAGGTAGGAGATGGTGCAATCGAGCAGCTGAAATGGCGGTTGTCGTAGTGCGATGTGAGAGTCGAAGAATGTTCTCATCGTGAAGAGGTTTACTCCTCATCGTCTTCGGTCGCGCCAACTTTGGTGTCCCAAAGGGGCCCACCCTGTGGGTTAGGAGCGGGCGCAGCTTCAGCGTTGCGCCCCCAAACTGGCCTTCTCCCTGCGTCAGGAGCGGGAGCAGCTTCAGCGTCGCGTCCCCAAACGGGCTTCGTTCCGGGATACACCCACTTCCCAGCTTCAGGAGCGCGTCCCCAGACGGGCTTATGCTTCTGTGGGTTGGGAGCGGGTGCTACTTCAGCGCTGCGTCCCCAAACGGGCTTCGTTCCGGGATACACCCACTTCCCAGCTTCAGGAGCGCGTCCCCAGACGGGCTTATGCTTCTGTGGGTTAGGAGCGGGTGCGGCTTCAGCGTTGCGTCCCCAAACGGGCTTTCTCGTTCCTTCAGCAGCGGGTGGAGCGACGGGGGCAGGAACTGGCAAGGCGGCACTGTAAACAGTGACCGACAGGATGGCGGAGGCGATGAAGGCGGAGATCTTCATGATGTCGAACTTGGAAAGATCGTGTGGTAAAGTATCGTGAAGGTTGGAGAGGATCGACTGTTGATCAGGTAGTTGATGCTGATCCTTGAAGGTGCAGACGATGTCGAAAGATATTGGTGCGTGTTGGGGAGAGTACTTAAGTTCGAAAGAGAGATGTAATCACACGAGAGAACCTAACGGAGGCGTTCCTTTTCTCTATTGACACCCCAGAACATGAATAGGCCACCTTGTTGCTCAATAGACCTTCGGGTCGCCCAAGTCCGATGAGTGAAGGCAAGCGTTCAAAGGGATCACTCTGAATGGAGGTCGGTTAAGGCCCAAAGCAAGGTTATCCAGAGCAAAGAGGTCTTCCAGGCCTTCGGGGGCGCTATGGATCACGGATAACTTGGTCCGAGAAGATTCAAAGCTCGCGGGGAGACGGCGAGCATACGCTTTGCGACAAGTGCAACAAGGGATTACTACAACGTTGAAAGCGAGCGCGTTCTGGTGTTGTGATTACCTCTTTTGGGTCTGAATAGCTTCAATAGAAAAAAGAGGCTTGGCACGGCTCGCGTGCACTCGATATCAGCACAATGACGCGCCACATTATGAAAGATTGATTTTACTGGACCAAAGGACGCCTTCTGGAAGGTTCACGAGTAAACGACTCAGGATTGAGGTATCGGCGTTAAGGAGGCGGCTCAAAGGTGGAGTAGCTTTCATGGAGGTGTGATCGAGCAATATTACGCACATTAGCGCATGTCGAGAATGAAATCATCTTTGAGATCGAGAGAAAGAGCTTCAGGTTCACCAATGATTTTGAATCGATCGCAACCTGCTATCTGTAGGACAATGGGCTCGCCCAGTTGACGTAGGAGGACCATGATGCAAGTGACTCTGCGAGGGCTTCCGAAAGAGCCGTTGTCCTGGGAAAGCAGCGGTTCGACCAGCCGTAAACGGTAGATACGCTGAGAGGCGGAGAATATAGCATTGTCGGCAAGACAATAACGCAAGTGTTGCTCGCATGCAGGGTGCGCTTGGGGGCGCCTGACGACATATTTCGATGGAAAAGAAACACCTGCATGAATGCTCCTTGCAGTGCACCATGTGCCACGTGGGAAGGAGACCCCTAGTCTGAATCCTTTGAATCGCGAACGGTTCCTGTTGGGCTTGTGAGTCTATTGGCAACGCAATACTGATGGGATTACTGTCAGGGGAATCGTCAGCCAGGCTCGATGAGCCCTCTGAATACGAACGTTTTCACTCCATGAGCTCTTTCAAAGTCGCCGGTTTCAGCTGGTGATATGAATGCGAAGGACTCGAGCGACAGGAACGCGTCGTGGTGTGTGTTGGGTTGTCTGAGCAGCCGCCTGGCCGATAAGGAGCTGATTAAGCTAGCGTCGCACGTGGCACCGCGCCAAAAGTTGCCGCGGGAAATCGTCGCGAATCACTGTGAGACGCCCATAAAAGTATGCATGCGAGAATAGCCAGGTCCACGGCGCCTGCGTTCAGAGCGGTGCTTTCGAGCTTGTCCAGGCGGCGGTCAGCATGGATTTGCTCGTCCTTGCAGGCTGGTAGCGGACGAAGCCGCCGACACATTACCACCCAAACGTCGGAGAAGCCCTACTACATCACCACGCCAATATTCTATGTCAATGCTGCCCCGCATGTCGGCCACCTGTATACCATGGTCCTCACGGACGTGATAAAGCGGTGGCATGAACTCAAAGGAGAAAAGGCGTTGCTATGCACCGGAACAGATGAACATGGCCTAAAGGTGGTTTACCTGGCAATGTGATAGTATTGCACTAAATCTGTAACAGGTTCAGAGAGCAGCTGCAAAAGCTGGCATTGACCCGAAACTGTTCTGCGATAAGGGTGCCGAGATCTTCAGAGTACGCATGCACGCATAACGAGCCCCCGCCATCGTTACTTACCTGTACGAGGAACTTGCAGCCAAAGCCGAAATCACGAACGATCACTTCGTACGGACGACGGATAGAGAACACAAGGAAGCTGTCGAGTATGCATGGGTACGAGAACTTGAGTTCAGACGGTGGAAAGCCATGTAGCTGATGGCGGACAGTTCCTGCTACAAGAGAAGGGCCTCATATACGAGCAGAAGCATGAGGGATGGTATTCAGTCACCGACGAATGCTTCTACCCACAGTCTGCCGTACAGCCATATCTTGACCCACCCACAGGGAGGAAGATGATGGTAAAGTTTTGCTGGGGCGGCACTGTCGATCGATCTGACCAGGCTGCAGACATCGATTGAGACTGGCAGTGAAGTAGAGTGGTCTTCAGAAGTCAACTACCACTTCCGGCTCTCGGCATTCCAGGATAAGTTGCTCGAGTTCTTCAAGAACAACCCCGAATGGATAACCCCAGAGCACCGCATGAAGGAGGTTGTGCAAGCGGTCGAATCAGGACTGGAGGACCTGTCTGTTTCTCGACCGTATGAACGATTAACGTGGGGTATTCGAGTTCCCGGAGACGACTCGCAGACCATCTACGTATGGCTCGACGCGCTGATGAACTATGCGACTAAGGCCGGATACCCGTGGACACCAGGCCGCGAACAAGCCGGAGGCTGGCCCGCGGACTGTCATGTCATCGGCAAAGACATTGTGCGATTCCACTGCATTTACTGGCCCGCCTTCCTCATGGCCCTTGGACTTCCATTGCCCAAGAAGATTCTGACACACGCTCACTGGACTCTTGGAGGGTCAAAAATGTCCAAATCTACTGGCAGGGTTGTCGATCCTTTCCACGCCCTTGATCGGTTCGGTCCGGATGTTATGCGCTTTTACATGGCGCGCGAGGGTGGTATACAAGACGATGCGAGCTATGACAATTTCCGCATCATTGGTTTGTACAACAAGTTCTTGAACCAGCAACTCGGCAACCTGGCTTCTCGTGTTACACGAGGCAAGAAATGGAGCGTCCGTGGCGCAGTCGAGCGTGTTGGTGGGTGGCCAGCGGAGGAGTGGGCGGAAGGACCAGGTTCCAAGTTCCGGAATAATTCTCTTGCTACCATCGCCTCGCAAGTAGATGCATCTTTTGATGCCTACGATCCGCGTAAAGCCGTGTCTCAAATCGCAGAGTTTGTCCGAGGGGTAAGTCTAGACACTCTTCTTTCTGCCATCCTACTAACTCGACCAAGTCGAACGCTTTCTTCCAGATGTCGCAACCATGGGACAAGGTCTTGACCTTTGGCCCAGGAGAGCCTGGCGAGGATGTCGACAAGATCATTTATCTTGCTGCTGAAGCACTTCGAATCACCGGTATCCTACTACAGCCATACATGCCGAACAAAGCACGCATGCTACTTGATCAGCTAGGCGTACAGCAAGATCGAAGAACCTTTGAATACTGCAAGCCTGGCGCTGATCTAGACTACGGCACTCCGTTGGTAGAGCTGGGTGCAGCGCACAAGGGTGTGTTGTTTCCCCCACTGCCGAGCGAGGGATGAGAGTCAGGTGTGGTGTACTATATGTATTTGTAGTTGCGAAGCATGGGCAATGAAATAACTCCAGAAGTGAATACAGGTACACTCTGTGAAACTACCTAGGTATGGAGCACGTGTTTGCGTCAATGCTTTAGTCGCTCGAATCTGATCGCGCAAGGGTGCTTTCGCAAAAAGATATTCTTATAAGTACATTTTAACCCTCAAGCATTGCTTGACAGAGGTGAGTTTGGTCAGGAGCTGATCCCGTGTGGCTGGGGCCTAATGCCAAGACTACATCATCGGCCGTCGCGAACTTTAGATTTCTGAGTGAACATTCTCTACGGCAGCACAATCACAGACACCACAACACCTCCACTCCTCTCGCTCCTGACGCTGCATCGGAACTTCCCAAACTCTGCACATCTTTCTCTAGCGGTTACGAAAGCACAACACCAAGCACCGCGCACGCGCCTCCACGCAGGACCTATTCACCATGGCCGCCCCTAAACCGGGCGGCTTCAAGATGTCGCTGGGGGCACTGAAGACGAAGCCAGGGCTGAAATCTTCCCCCGCACAGAAAGACACCAAAAAGACCAAGCTTTTGCTCGGTGACGACGAACCAGACGATTCGAATACGCAACAAGAGATCACGGGATGGGACGCAGCAGAGGGCGGCGCGGTCGATGCCAACGGGAAAAAAGAGAAGGAGGGACCGCGCATCATTCCAGCTTTACCCAACCGCGATTGGCGAGCAGAGGCACGGCGCAAACAACTTGCGAAAGCACCCCATCAGCAAGCGCAAAATGTCACGGTGGATGAGAGCAAGATGGAGGAGCCGAAGGTGCAATATGGCCTTACGATCATCAAGAAAGACGAAGCGCAAGAAAATGGAGCTGCGGAAGCTGAAGCCGCGGAACCGATGGAGGTGGAGCAAGACAATCTCACGGAAGAGCAGCGGCTCGAGAAGAAGGCACTCGATGCGCTGATCAGCGGCAAATCCACGGACAACGAACTCGTGATTCCTGTACAATCAGAAGAGGACGCACTCTTGAACGATCTCAACAATGCGCCCGACGCGCCCACCCTCGAAGCATACGAAGCTACCCCGATTGAAGGCTTCGGCGCGGCGCTCCTACGTGGTATGGGTTGGAAGGACGGCGATGCAATAGGCAAGAACGGTCCTGCTGCGAAACCGAAAGAAGTCAAACGGCGACCAGCGCTGCTTGGCATAGGCGCAAAGGAAGACGCTGCAATAGGCGTTGAGCTAGGGGAATGGGGTGGTGGCAAAGGCAAAGGGAAGAAGGTCGCGCAGAGCTACAACCCCGTTACGCTGCGGAACAAGATTACTGGTGAGATGATCACAGAAGAAGAGCTAAAGGCCAAACTGGAGGCTCAGAGCTTGATCCCAGACGAGAAGCCGTCAAGAAGCAAGAGCAAATACGACGACGACAGCGAAGACGAAGAGCGAAGGCGCGAGAAGCGGAAAGAAAAGCGAGATGACCGCGACCGCGACCGCGACCGCCGACGCGACGACGACTATGACAGCGAACGGAGGAAAGACAAAGACCGCCGAAGAGACAAGGACGACTACTACGACAGCGACCGCCGCAGAGACAAGCGGAGAGAGCGAACCCGAGACGACGACTATGATAGCGAGCGCAGGCGCGAGAGACGAAGAGAACGTAGCCGCAGCCCCGACGACCGAAAAGAAAAGCGCCGCGATCGGTACCGTAGCAGGAGTCGAGACTCGAAGCGCAAGAGCGATAGGAGGGACCGTAGTCGCAGTCGTGACTCGGATGATCGCAGGAAACGGAGAAGAGATAGGGAGTATGAGGATGAGGAGAGGTACGAGAAGAGACGTAGGGACGACAAGTACTATAAGTAGTGTTTAGACGGGTTGGGCATAACGGTATCAGACAGTATGAAGCTGCATGTATCTGGCGTTTTATTGGCATCTTACGGGCATAGCATAGGCATGAATCGGCATCTTCATGATGAAGTAATTCACTACACTGCGCTATGGTGTTGGACTCCGACCAGGAGTTTCGATAGATACCTAGATAGTTCACACGACCGTACAAATCGGGAACTTCCCATAACTCTTTGACAACACATTGACTTGTACTAGTTTGTTAACATTGTGTCTAATCTACGAACGCATAAAACTACGTTATTTGAAAACGAACTGATTGCGGTTTTCTAGTATTTCTTAGGTTGACATTCGGCAGGAATGACTCTGTCTGTTTCACATTTCACATACCTCTGAGCAAGAAGATCAAGATAATGCCGTATAAACATCCGATGGGCGAGTTTCTTCCTTGCTATTACTCCTGGATCAACGACCTTGAAGTCTGTAGATATGCCCACGATCAGTGGGACGTTTCCACCCACCTCAAATTTAAATGGCCAGTTTACCTTTGGTGTCAAGTAAGCTACAGTCACTAGTTGCTTCGTGGAGTGTGCTCGTGCAGGAACGTAAGCAGACAACACGATTGAGTGACGCGGTATATAATGGCAATGCGGGTGTATGTCTAAAGCATAATATTTTGTGTTGTGAATGATCTGAGTGGTTTGTGGTTAGTTATAGTCCCAGGGCTCACTGTGTGCACTCGGTGCATAGTAGAAACAATCGTTGTGGTATCATCTCATTCCATTATATGCCATATTAAATATCATTTACTAGTACATCGAGCCCCCATCAATACAACTCCCATGCGTGCTTCATTTGTCAATCGTAACTATGCGGTGCAACTTAGATAATCAAAACGCCAGTGGTATAATTGAATGCCAAAAGCTCAAAACAAAACAAGTTGAATATGTACAAATACGGGGTATACATAAAGAAATTAGAAGTTGCGCGAGGGCAGTGGGGATGGATCCTGCGCGGGCATAGGGTAGCCGTTTCCGGTGTGTGATACGTAGCCGTTAGCCTGACCATTGGTAAGGGAGTTGCCATTAGTGTATCCGTTGGCGTAACCATTAGTTTGCGGTACGGCCATTTGCGAGTTGCCACGGTAGTATTGCTGGCTGTCCGCAGCGCCATCGCCCATGTGGTGGTGGGGGTGGGTTCGTCCGGTCTCGCCGCTCTCCTCAAAGACTTGCATCTCGGTCTGCTTGGACTGGTGGTTCTTGGTGCGCGTGGCAGGTAGGAAGTCGATGAAGAAGCTGAAGACGTAGAAGCAGTAGATGAAGGATACACACCATTCCAGGACAGCAGCCACGTTATAGATGTGCTGCTTGGAGCATACCGCAAAGGCGATGGCGAGGCACACTTCGGTGATGATGAAGAAGAGTTTGATCCAGAAGGAGATTCGGAGGATGGAGTGCTCGCGGTAGTGTATGCCTAGGCGCTGGTACTCCCAGCAAATGAAGATTGCCGAGACGATGTAGCCGATGATGAATACACCAAGAAAGATGTTATGCAATCTGTTGTGGTTCTTGCAATCGAAGATAGTGAGGAGGATCAGACCGGCGGCACCGATTATGGCGGCGACGGTTGCGCAACCTGAGTAGATCTTCTGCCAGTGAGACGTGTTTGGCGCAAGTTTGTTGGTGTGTCGCAACCAGCGCTCGAAAATGAAGGCGAGATCGAAGGTTACGACAGTAACGGCGGACATGGCAATGAACATGGCTTTGAGGTAATCCGCACCGATGTCTGGATGCTGTTAGCATTGCATGATCTTTGAGTGCCCATATTGCATAACTCACCAGAAATGTAAGGGATGTTTTGCCCGTCGCTCATCGTCACATAATGGGGTTTGCCGGTGGCAGCCCAGTACACCAGCATGGTGATGAGCATAGCAGTCCATACTACTGCGGAGAAGATGGGGACCACCCAATACGAGAGCCCCAACATGCTGGCTGATGTCCCTCGACGGTCTTCTGAGATTTGCGGGTAGAACGGCGATGAGTCCTGTTGCGACTCCAAGGGGTATCCAACGCGCCTGCGACGGGAGTGTGCGGATAGGGTAACACGGCACGCGACCAGAGGGTGAAGTGAGGGAAGTGAAGCAGGAAAGACACGAGGACGCGATCAGCAGCAGGGAGCAGGCCTAAGAAGATGAGAGGGGACCAAAAGCAGATATGATGGCAGGACAGTCCGCGGCGCAATGAAAGTCTCATACAAGCGGTGTTGTTGCTAGGACGCGACTATGATGTCACGGCTCCACGACTAAGCCGGCTTGCGTAAGATCCCGCCGCCTCCGCTTCGATCGCGGTGCTGGACGTCACCAGCAAGGCTCAGACTCTTCGATTGCGCGGAGTGGAGATCGTGAATGCTTCCCAACACCTGCGGACGAAATCTTACGTCAACCTTGGAAGGCTTACTGATGATGATGCGGCGACGAGCCTCTGCGGGTGTGGCTGCTGCAGAGTCGCGATAGGACTAACGCCATGTTTGTGCGGCTGGCGCATCGATTCTGCCTCAACAACCTTGCCATCGAGATTCGAGGCCAGCCGTCGCAGAGCTCGATCTCGCTCAAACGCAACGCAGAGTTTCAGCGTCAGCACTACGATGACACGTCCGAGGACCAGGCTGTTGTCGCAGCGAGAAACCCGACATTGTGAGGTCCATGTGACTTACGATGCTCGGCAGTATTGCGCGGCCTGATATGGCTGTCACTCCGTCGTGAGGTGGAGCGCGTTGCTAGTGGTGCGCGACATCCAGGCCTTCAGTGCTCCGGCCTTGATAGTTTTACAAAACTACTCCCGAACTCCAGTGTGGCCTGTTGCTGGTGCAAGTGCATAGCAGCCTGCGATATGGTTTCGAGACCAGTTGATGCATTCGGGCTTTTATCCAGAACCCGGGGTAGGTGCGCGCAACTGTGTCGCGTATGTCGCGCGTCGGACCTGCCACCTGATTAGCCTACTTACTGCAGTCCTTTATTCCTGGAAAATTGCTGCCAGTCATTTCTTGGACGGTCGCAGGAGTAGCGGTGACTATGTGTCCTGCGAATACGTGGCGGGGATGATAACGCGCGTAGCCAGAACCCTAGGACAATCACGACGCGACATGGAAACAAAGACGGACTGCTGATCGGAGATAATCCACTGTCTACTCAAGCTGCGATCGTCAGGTTCAAGTATCCGCTACAAGAGTTGAGAGAAAAAGGAAAGCGAGGAGTACCGCGCGAACTGTTCATGCATGCTGCATGCATGGACCAAGGCGAAGACCAGGGAACTACGGCAAAAGACATCTGGGATGGCGACACGGCCAGCCACTGTGCTTGCTAGGAGCATCGCCACGCTTTATGTTGCGAGACGCGTATGTCGGCACGGCCACAACAAACCAGCTCGCCTAGCTTTTCCTGGTGTGGATCTTTCACAGCCATGGCACGACTTGTGCATGTGGAATTTGCACTTTGCCATGGTTTGAGGCTTGCAGAGGTCCGATCAGCCGTTAGTTCACCGATACGGCAAAAAGCATCTGGGATCCAGCCTTCGCGTTGCGCATGCATCACGACCCCCCGCCTTGATTGGTTCCGGCGCTCGTGCGTGCAGCAATCTTGATTGGCAGATTGCTCCCATCCTCGATGCAGCCTGCATTGTCCGGTTTCATATCGACCTTCTTCCAAGTTTGTTGTCACGTAGACCAGCTCAATCTTTGCCTGCGACGTGCACCGCTCGTAGTTCCATGTCTGGCGTCCTTGTCACTTGTAGCCGGTAACGCTAGACGCCCGTCCTCGCGGGGACATATTACTTATTGTTCCTCAATATCCCTCCACTTGGTCCGCCAGTTCTAGTGTACCGCCGGACTATGCTTTCATGTTCGCATACCAGCCTCCGTACTGATAACGCTGCAGCTCCGAGGACACTATAAGGGTACGCAGTCAACCTCCCATCCTGCCTGGCATTCACGAACTGCAATTAACTCTCTCTTTAGCTACTGCAATCCCAATGCATCATTGCCAATAGTTTTGAGCGCCGTCGCTCTCCAACCCCACTGCCACCTTCAATATGGGTAATCAACCCAGTACCGAGAACCACAACAAACTGTCCAAACCGAAGACCAACACCAACTCCGCGAGCGCGGCGGGGAAGCTCGACTCCCCGCAATCCACAACATCGAGATCGGCAGACCTCACCCCCGAAGGACGCCAACAAATCAAAGATGCACTGCTCTCACCTATTGCTAGCGAGTTCGATCCCACCACATGGACACACGAGGATGATGGGTTAGGGGAGGTCACAAAGACGCGTGGTCGCGCGTCGACAGTTGGTTCGAGATCGAACTCGCGAACAAACTCAAGAGCCAATTCCCGAACCAATTCTTTGTCGTGTTTCCGGAGCAAGCACAGCTCGGCCGCCCAGCTTGCTGGCCTAGCTGACTCCAAGCTGTCTTTGGCTTCTGTCTCACACGTGGATGTTGCTGAAGCAATTCGGCTTCTACAACAAGTCAAGAAGAATGGCACACCAGAAGATCTTGCGGCGCTGCAAGAAGTCCTTGAATCACCTGAGGAGCCTCCCCAGCCGGTAGCTGAGGCACCTCCTAGCCGAAGAACTTCGCTAGTTGATCGATCTTCTTCTTCGCTCACACGCCGTCAGTCCCTGGTCCAGACACCTGGTGTAGGCACACGACACTCTCCCATCGAGGGACGTCGCAGGACATGGAATTCATGGAAAGCGCCGAAGCTCAGCCCTGAGGAAGAGGCAAAGTGGCAGCAAAAGTCAAAGGCGAAGGCGCATTTGAGCCCTCAAGCAGCTCTTCGCTTGTCTGATGAACCTCGCGATAACAACACAACGCGAGCCCACACCCCATCGGACCTGGATTATGCGCATCTAGGGAACATACAGCCAGGAACTCTCGTTGTCACGAACGGTGCGGCATCGCCTGTTCCCAGTTCAGAAACTTTGGAGTTGCGCAAGACTGAAGAGGAGGACTATTTCGAAGCAACAGAGTATGCCTCCAGTCCGTTGACGATGAAGTCAACACGCCAGAGAGCTCATACAAGGAGCAAGTCAGCCGCTGTTCCAGCGACTTCTTCATTGTATGAGCTGGAAGCCAACGAAGTAGCCACAGCGCACGAATTAGAGACCCCGGTCGTTATGATGGCGTACACGTCTGAGCCGCAACACAACACCGAAGCTGAATCCCCAAAGTTTCTGCGGCTCACGCCCCAGGGCAAGAAAGGCGCAGCGCAGTTCGCCCAGAGCTACCAGGACGATATCCCATTAAGCCCGTTTCTTGCGTCCGAGGAGACAACTGAGTCCAACCAGCCGGAGCCTTCTCCTACCTTACAAGAGCCCAAGCCTCAGCCTGAAATCGAGATCTCAGCACCTTCGTCCCCATCGATCGCGCCCACCTCCAACAAGCCAAAGAGCAAAGCTTCTCAGCGGCCAGCACCACGTACGACCGATTCTGGCTACTCATCCGCTGGCAGTCTACGGATAGTCGGTCAAGATCCGACGGAAAACGCCACCACCATTCTCTGTCATCGGTGCAACGACTCGCCGCAAATGGTTGAGGTAAGCCAGGGACGCGAGACTCGCCGTTCAATTCTTGTGAAACAGAACCGTCAATTCGTGGAGTCGCCGAATACCACGAGCGATTCGGACGGCTCAGCCGAGAGTGTCAGATCCAAGCAATCGCTATCAGTCAATGTGCAGAAGGCGCGATACCTGCCAGCGCTGAACAGTCCGGTCCCGTCTACTAGCTCTTCTACCAGATCATCGACGTCTGAGTGTGTACATTCGCCAATAACATCCCGATCCATCGGTTCAAGGGCGTCGTTTGACAGTGCTTCGTCGAAACAGCAAAAGCGATTTCACAAGAAGCGGCCGTCCCAGGCTGAGCATCCTGTTGTTCAGTCATGCCAGCCAATCCCAGAGGGAACGATTCCTGAGGTCCCAACCAGGGTGCGAGCCAAGTTTGAGCGACGCGTGTCGAGCTCTCCGGGAATGGATTGCTTGACGCACACCTACCCGACAAAAGAGCACGTTTCTGCGGACGATTCCACCATGGAGGCTTCTGCTCCGGAGCAGACTGAGTTCAAGCCACTCGCTGAATTGGAGGCTGAGCGTGCACCCACACCCCCTGCTCACGGTCGTCGCAGGAGCTTGTCCTTCTTCCGAAGGAAGTCTGCACCTGCACAGAGTCAGCCCGAGCAAGAGCCTGAGCAGGCCGCACTTGATGTGGTTCATCTTGGTACCATCACCTCGTCCCTTGGCACATCTCCGTACGACATTGCCATGTCCGACACCCCGAAACAGCGTGTTGTTTCTCCAACCCACCCACATCAGCTAGGCGCTTCTTTGCCTCGGTCGAAGTCGATGGTGACCATGGACAGTAAATCTGCTGCAGAGTTTGCGCGCCTACACAGCAGGGACCTATCCGTTACTCGACGGGACATGCCCTCTCAACAGCGCCGGAAAAGCCTCCATAACTTGAAGAAAGAAACTGGTGAGGCTACAGCGTCGAAGCTTCGCCCACAAAGCGTCGACGTCCCACCTGTGCCGTCCATCAACACGGCCAGGCTTAGCGTCCCACAGGCTGGTAAGCCTCAAGGACCCAGGGCTGCTCCCAGCCCCAGGCCTCGCAGTCCGAGAGGGTCTCCTCCGGTGATCAGATATGGCGCGCCTCCGCAACAGCCTCCTCAAGGTGTGATCTCGCCAAGGCAGTCCCAGGTCTGGCATCAGCGCCGTAGGACGCTGGGAGACCGCCTGTACTCGGATGTCAACCTGGACCTGTACTCGGATCCAAACGACGCGTCCAACAATGCGAGTCCAGTCGAAAGCCCATGCGAAAGTCCCCTCGAAATGACTCCCCGCAAAGAAGTCAAGGGTTCCAACAACATCTCTAGGTGGGATCGCTTTAGTGGGGGTTTGGACTACAACTACGAACATGGGGCGGGCATCGGAGGCAGCGCCGGCACGCGATCGCACCACAGCAACGCGTCGCTGAAGTCGCTGGCCTTCCAGCACCAGTACGGCGTGGACCTGTCCGACGTACCCATTATGATCCGGTACCAATCGTGATGCAGCGCGCGTGACAAGGGAGTAGGTTTTGGCTTGCGGGGTTACTATTTACCATAATCAAGTAGCATTCACATGTTGCGCCTTTTGCATTCACACAGCGGCATCTGGGTAGGGAAGGGTATGGCGTTCTTCTTGTTTTGAGTACATACTGCATGAGCCGGCATATAGCTACGACTCCACCCAATCAGAGAATAAATACCACTGCACTCACCGCAACTATTGTGCCCTGTTGGTAGAAGTACCATGCGCGTTTAATGACCTTGGCATGTTGAGCGCGCGACGGTTGCCCAAAACCCGCGTCGGGCATACCTGACATGCGCGATTTCGAGCTCCAGCGGTGGCTCAGCCTCGCATGCGTGCCATCGAGCCGATCAGGCACCGTCGGCGTCCATGCACGAGCCCCGGTGATGTCAGAATGAAATGCTAGTGGCTGCAGGTCCTGGACGGCGCAGGGATGTTAAGTAATGTTCGGTCCAAGACTCCAGCACCACAACCGAATGCGCGAAAATTGTCACTCCAGCTCCCCGCCATCGCCTCCCTTTCTCCTACACCTCACCCGCTCCCCATATTCACCGCCCGCCAGACACCGCGCCCTATAAAGCGTCCGTCTGCGCCTTCACTGCAGCTCAGCCACTTCTTCCGACAGCCTTTGGTCGCGTCAAAGGCTCGCGTCCCACTACGGCTTCGGCCCTGCTCCTGCTCAACGCCCAAGTTGTCTCTGCGCGTCCAGCACCTCACGTCTTCAACAACATCCCCCCTCCGCGTCTTGTCGCCATCTAAGACCGAACTCGAGCGCCTTTTCTTTTTGTCTCCTACCCAGACACTCGAGCAGCCCGAACTTCAGCTGCCGCATAGGACGCCATCAGCGGTTCTTCCTCTCGCAGAGGAAGCGGCCAGACCTCGCCCAACACCTAGCCTCGGCTTCGCACCCTTCAAGCCACCTTAACGCGGCACCACGACCGGCGAATACCCTAATTAACCAACCCTCTATCCAGACCCATCGTCAAGGGCATGGCACCTTCTGCTATCACGACTACCGAAGAATACCAATTCCCGTTGAAAGACATCCAGTCACTCAACAACTATTCCGCTGGTAGTGTGGACAATCATGGCGCCTGGAAATCCAAGCAGTTGATTGCGCACGCTCTCAAGAGCCGTGTCGAGGCTATTGATCCTGATACCTGCAGCGTCGGCGAGGAGGAGGCCTTCTTCGTCGCCGACCTGGGCGAGGTCTACCGCCAGCATTTGCGCTGGAAGAAGAACCTAGGCCGCGTCAAGCCGCACTATGGTAAGTCACCGCACACCACACCACGCAGACCCGCCACTAACATGCCGCAGCCGTCAAGTGCAACCCTGACCCCCAAGTGCTGCGTCTCATGACTGCATTGGGTCTCGGCTTCGACTGTGCCTCCAAGAACGAGATTGAGACTGTGCTCAAGTTGGGCGTCGACCCGTCTCGCATCATCTACGCGCAGCCCTGCAAGACCAAGTCTTACGTGCGCTACGCCGCTCAGTCTGGCGTCAAGCAGATGACATTCGACAATGCCGACGAGCTCTACAAGACCAAGCAGCTCTTCCCGGATGCCGAGCTGTACCTGCGCATCTTGACTGATGACTCGGCCAGCTTGTGCCGTCTCAGCCAGAAGTTCGGCGCCGCTTTGGACACGACTGCAGAGCTCTTGGAGCTGGCGAAGAAGCTGGAGCTCAACGTCGTTGGAGTCGCGTTCCACGTTGGCTCCGGCGCATCCGACCCCAAGGCCTTCATCAAGGCTGTGCAGGATGCCCGCTTCGTCTTTGACCAGGCGGCTGCACTTGGCTTCAACATGCACACCCTTGACGTCGGCGGCGGCTTTACGGGCGATGCTACCTTCGAGCCCATGGCCGCAGTCTTGTCTACTGCCTTGGACGAGTACTTCCCGCCCCACATCCGCGTCATTGGGGAACCGGGACGCTACTATGTCTCCACAGCGTTCACCATTGCGTGCCATGTCATCGCTCGCCGTACCGTTGCCGATGCTACTCTCGGCACCACGTCGTACATGCTGTACCTCAACGACGGTGTCTACGGCAACTTCTCGAGCATCATCTTCGATCACCAGCACCCCGTGCCGCGTGTACTGAAGAACGGCAACGATGTTCTGTACGATGTCCGTCGCTCTGGCTACGACACGCCGTCTCAAGTCGAGTACTCTATCTGGGGTCCGACATGCGATGGTATCGACGTCGTCTCGTCGTCGTGCACCTTCCCCGAGCTACTCGACGTGGGTGACTGGCTCTACTTTGAGGAGATGGGCGCGTACACTAAGTGCTCTGCCACCCGCTTCAACGGCTTCAGCGACAGCCACGAGGTTGTTTACGTGTGCAGCGAGTCTGGTGCTGCGGCTCTTATGGATATGTAAATCCTCTAGTAGAGCGTTGTGTGGTATAGAAATATTTTTTGCGTGTAATAGCGAGACGGAAGAAGCGCGTATGGAGGTAATCCCTTGGTCAAAAAGTTGGTAGATTTCGTAGTTGTTTCGTATTCTTATCATCTCAAATACAGTACATTATTATAGCTGCGTGGTCGCTGGTCCCATGTGTCGATGTTGACAGTATGCTTACCTTCTTCTTCGTATTCGTCTTTGATATTTCTTGATAGTCGCTTGCACGACAGGCACTAATGACTGGGATGTTGGAGCCGATTTGCCGCGTTGGTGTTGACAGGCCGAAGCTCGCGGATGCTCACAAAGCTGTCGGCCCGCTGCACTGCGCGGCCCGCCTTGCGTCGAGGATCGTGGTTGTTACCAGCCACAGATGGCTTCGGGGATGGGTGATTTGATTTGCTGGAAGCAGATGGTAGTGTGTGCCACACCAGGTACAGGATGCTGCTCGTATGCGCCGCCAAGTGTGATCAGGAGCGGCCGCAAATTCGGTCGCAGCGCGTAAAGTCGAGCAGTCCAATCACATGTCAGAGGGCCTCCTCAGCCCAGGAGGTCAGTATGGCGAGACCCGCTGCAGCCCAACTCTTGGAGGGCCATGTTAGAAAGGCTACGTAAGTCAGCAGCATCGCGTAGAGACCGCCGTGCTCGCTCGATTCCCGCATAAAACCTGAGGGCCCAGCGCGTGGCATGTTCATGTACAGTTGATGCACCCCGTCGCCCGGCAGCGTCATATCGAGCCTCGAGCGACTACCCCACCCCGCGCAGCCATCCACACCACCGTGTTGCCCTGCGCACGTCGAGCTATCCGCACCCGTAACCAAAAATAAGTCGCCGCCTGCCATCGCCGGCGATCCAGGCACCGCTGCTGCAACGACACCGCAGCGCATATCCTGCACTCGCCCACCATGGACGGCCGGAAGCAGGGCCGCCCGGACGAGGAGCTGTTCCTGCGATACGACAACAACAGCAACCCAGACACGCCCATCATTCCCACCGTCGGGCCCCTGAGGATACAGAAAGGGCGCGATGGTAAGAGCCCGCCGCCGCGAACAGACTCGGCGGGCAGCTCGAGCCAGCCCGCCTTCTCGCGCCCTCCTCCCATGCCCTCGTTCCCCGCGCCGCCCACCAGCCCGCCCAACGCCCCTCTGCCCTACCCCGACAGCGACCGCCCGCCCACGCTCAGCACAGGCAGATACACTCCGCTCAGCGAGAGGGAGCGCCGCGTGCGAACAGCCACACCCCCTGACGGCGCAGACGGACCGCGGCGAGGCTCCAATGCGACAGGACCGAGTCCCACCTCGCCCAGCCAGCGCGCCCGCTTCGACGCCAACGACCCAAACCGACCCACGATAAGCGGCTATGGCGCGCGGAATCCAGACGGCTCCATCCAACCCTCGAGGCTGGCCGAGCGCAGAGGGACAGCCCCGAAGCCGCTCCCAGACTCGCCAGGCCCCGAGGCGCCCGACAAGGAGGGCTTGTTCCAGAAGGCACCGCAGAGGAAGGGCAGCGAAGACGTGGGCGCCAGCAACCCATACCCCGAGTACCACCAGCAGTACTTTCCCCCGCCCGCTGCTGGCTCCAGTGCGGCCCCGGCTGCGCCCGCTGCGCCAGTCGTATACACAGGTCCCAACCAGAATGAGCCGGTACTGAAGGTGCCTACGCCCATGGACGTCAACCGCATGAGCTCCACCGCATCGACGTCAACAGTGAGGGCACAGAGAGGCTCTCCTCCGCCCCCAGAGACGCCCATCATACCTCCCTCTGGCGGTGGCATAGAAGCGCGCTTTGCCGCAGCTGGCATTGCAGGAACCTCTACACTCACCAACCTCCAAGCGCAAAGTGCCCAGAATGCGGCAGCTGCTCAGCGCAATCAGATTTATGCCAATCAGCAACCCAGACCAGGTCTTTCAACACCACAGCCGAGCCAACAGCCGGCGAGGAGACCATGGACACCGACCGAGCAGCCTGGAGGCAATCCACATGGTCCACCGGCCGTATACCAGGGCATGGATCAAGTGCCTCCCTCGAGCACTCCCCCACAAGGCCCTCTTCCGCAGGCACCGAACACTCGCTTTTCGCCGCCTCCTACCAACGTGAACGTACCTCCAGAACACCCGCTGAACCACGAGATGGGACGGATGAACTTGAATGAAGAACCCCCACCAGCGTACTCGAGTATAACAACCCCGCCAACAGGGCAAGCCCACAGCTATCCCAACGAAAAGGGCCAGCAGCCAGTTGCCCAAGGAGCTGGTTTCTCTGACCCTAACCAAGGCCATCCGGCATTCGCAAATGACCCGCGTCCACAAGCTGGACCATCACAACCTGCGGCGGTCATCGCACCAACGCCGACGCAAAACCAATTCCCTCCTCAAATACAAACCACCCAACCCGCTCACACACCAAGTCCAGCTCCGGGGCCCGGACCGGCCTCTCCTCCACCGCTCCCTGAAGGCTGGATAGCACATCTGGACCCTAGTTCTGGCCAGTATTACTACATCCATCTTCCAACCCAGTCTACGCAGTGGGAGTTCCCCAAAGGTCCGACACCTCTGAACCTGAATGAGCCCATGTCTCCTACCGGTACATTTGTTGGCGGTCCTCTGGCGTCCCCGTCGTTTGGCAAGGCCCCCATCGCATCGCCTGGCTTTGCTCCACAGACGGCCACTTTTCCCGGAGACTTTGGCATGGCGCCGCTTGCGACACCAACCACTACCGGCTTCACTGGACCGCCTCCAGTTGCTGGTGTAGACCAATACAAGGTTGCTCCAACTAACGGCGTGTACTTTGGACCGTATCTCAGATACACTAACATGGACATTGAGCGAGGTCTATGGCTAGGTTCGATACTGCTCATCACAAACACGCCTCATCCGCCGACTATTCACATCCATCAGAGTGCAGATCTGTCACCAAATCCGCGACAACTGAAGGCCAATCCCATCTATACACATCAGACGTGGATCTTTTACCGATACGACATTGATCTGAGAATGGAAGATGAGCATGCTGCAAAATGGACTTACGCCATCACCTCGCACCTGGGCTGCACTCGCTTCGAGTTTCTGGTCGCAGGCCGAAACGAGACCAGCTGGCGGTTTATTGCTCACTCTGGCAATGACTTCGCGCTGAACGTCAACGCTAATGAGAGAGCGAGGCTTGGTGGTGTAGGCCTGATGTGGAAGGATATCCTACAGAAGAATGCCGAGTGTGGCGGTTTCCACGTACAACTTGGTCTGGGTGGACAAATCTACGCCGATCGGCTATGGAAAGAACTTCCTTTACTCAAGCAATGGACCGCGACAAGTGGTAAAGAGGCCCGAAAGAATGCGCCATGGACTGCAAAGCATGAAGAAGATGTCTGTCATGCATACTTCCACTACTACACAAGTCACTTCGATCAGCCACACTTGCGAGAGGCATTTGCACAGATACCTCACATTCTTGCTCTCGATGACCATGACATGTAAGTTCAATCCGTGTGGGAGACAGCAAGCAACCCTAACATTACCCAGATTTGATGGTTTCGGATCATACCCTGAATACATGCAGTTCTCGAACATGTTCAAGAACATCGGAAGATTGGGTATTGAGATGTACCTGCTTTTCCAGCACCACACAACATTAGAAATTCTCCGAAACGTCAACAACGATATGGACCTTTTCACTATAACGGGCACAGGCTGGCACTTCATCAAGTATCTGGGCCCATGCGTTACAGTTGTTGGACCCGACTGTCGCTCTGAGCGCAACCCGCATCAGGTAATGGCAGGACCGACGTATCAAGGTATCTTCCCGAAGGTTGCGACTTTACCACCGAGCGTTCAGCACTGCATTTGGATGGTGCCTGTTCCCATTGTGTACCCTCGCCTGGAGTCAGTTGAGCATCTTGCTCACTCCATGGCTACTGGCAAGAAGGCTGTCACGGGTACATTCAACATGCTTGGAAAGGTGACAGCTGGAGTCGCTGGTGTCGTCGGTGCTAAGAGTGTGGTCGGCGATGGCTTCAACTCTGTCAAGAAAGCTATTGGCAAGTCAGGTCTGATGAGCGGAGTTCTGAGTCCCTTTGGCGAGATCGATTTGCTTGATGAGCTGAGAGACCAATGGACGCACGATTCAAAGGTTGGTGATGCCCATCTACCGTCAAAGTATCTGCTAACATATTGAAGGATCTCGAACGAACCTACTTGATACGAACACTCCAAGGCATCGCACACAATAAGTCGCTACGAATGACGTTCTTCTCTGGTGCGGTCGACTGCTGCGGCGCTGGCCTCGTCCATGACCCATCGAGACCCCAAGATCACAAGACAATGTACCAGATCATCTCATCGTCAGTGGTAAATGGGCCGCCTGGAAGCTATGTGCTGCGACTCCTTCACAACAACCGTGCTCTCTACGTACCACAGAACGGACACCGCAGCAATAACCAACCCAGCGACACGAAGGAAGACATGATGGAGATTTTCACGCAAGACGTGAACGGACAACCTCGCGAACACAAGAGGCTGATGGGTCGACGAAACTACGTCGCTTGTGTCATCTACGATCCGGAGATCGTCAACGGGACGTTTGGTCAGGCTGTCCCTGGACATGGCAGTGGCAAGTTGAGTTTGGCGGTTGATTTCATGGTGCAGAACGATGGCGGATACAGTGCGCCGATGAAGTACGGGCCTGTCATCGTCCCCAGTCTGGAGTATGGTAGATAGACGGACGGCCGACATTTTTGTTTTCTTCTGTTCCAAAGGCGAAATGCATAGCAAGCGTTGTATATGCTTTCTGGGATGTATGTTTGGGCGAACTCTTTCAGTATGATATCAAGCAACAATAAAGGCCTTTCCACGCATGATTTCAAGATCGATCGAGCCCCTGTGATGATATAATTGAAACGTTCCCCTCCGCTGACAGCTCTGCGGCGCTGGGAGGTGGAATGGTTTGCCGAATTCGGCAATGACATGTGCAGGGCTTGGCTACCCGCGGCCATTGAATTCTCGACGGCGAGACAGGACAGAAACTACACCACCCACGCAATGACAGTTCCTGCGATACAGGCGACGGCGATACCGCGATTTCTCCTGCCGCAACTATCATGGCCCGCGCGGGTGTCACGGCCGGCTGCGCTGGGCGCACTGGAACAAAGTCGGCATAGATGCAGTGTAGCTTCCGAACGTCGCGCTGCCTTTCCGAAGCCATTGTCACGAACAACAATCCAGTGGCCAAAAACATCACCACGATATGCAAGCGGCTATGCGTCTGCCCTGGAGCTACGGCGCAACTTCAGCGCGACTGCACGGCAATCCAAGGACCATCACTTCGACACGCTCAAGTTTGTGCAGCGACTGAAGGAGGAGGGGTTCACAGAAGAGCAAGCCGAGGGCATGATGAGGGTCCTCAGCGATGTAATTGAGGAGAGGTCAGTTTAGACACGACTACTCAAGATCTGCAATTGACATATACAGCATACAAAACCTTACGCGCACCATGGTCCTTCGCGAAGACCAGGAGAAAGCCACCTACACGCAGAAAGTCGACTTTGCCAAACTCCGCTCCGAACTCATGACGGCCGACTCGACTGAATCGAGTCTGACGCGCGCATCGCACGAGCGCCTCACAAACGAGCTTGCAAAGCTGAACTCACGCTTACGGGACGAGATACAACGGACACAGGCGTCAGTACGGCTAGACTTGAACCTGGAGAAGGGACGCATAAGGGAGGAGGCAAACGTGCAGGAACTCAAGCTGAAGGAGACCGAGACGAGGATCGAGCAGGAGACGGCGCAGCTGCGGGAGAGGCTCGAGGCGGTCAAGTTCTCAACGCTGCAGTGGCTCATGGGTGTGTGTACGGGTACGGCGGCGCTGATGTTGGGTGTCTGGCGGTTGTTAATGTGAGGCACGATGTGACTGCTTGTATGGAGATATGTTGGGTCAGACGCGGACAGCCTCAGAAACTACAGAGCGCAAGAGCACACGGCCATGTTTCTGCGCCGCACCATATATGTGCAACAGTGCCTGTCAATGCAGTTTACGGCTGCAACGGATCAAGAGCTCCGTGCACGACGAGATGGTGCCGAGACGGCAATGGTTGGTTTTAGATAAGATAGTGTGGCGTGCATATGCAAGCACGCGGGAACAACGTTGTCTGTGTCGAGCACTGAATACAAACGGCTGTCTTGGTATTCAGGCAAATTCACGAGCTGCGCGCTGATATTGAGAGGGCTGCAGCCCGCCTATGAGGCCATGTGGATGCAGACGCCAGGTCGCCTAGCCGGCCTGGCGCCTCAGATCAGCCACATGTGACATGGGAGGCTAACGCTCTGGCATTTGGCCGTGGTCGCGGTACTTCACCGCAACGTCACACGAATCATGGCGCAGAGACGTTCGCAGCGCAACAGCTTGCGGCCAGGTTTTCTAGCTGTTTCCAAGCGGCACTGATTGGCCCCCACCTGGACATGGGACGGCAGTCTAGGAATCAGCCTCTTGCTGGCGGCCGCGCTTCAGAGCCCGACTGGTGTGACGGCTCGACGGCAGCTCGACGACGTTACAGGCCGTCTGGCGTAAGATGAGGGCAGGACGGTGCCATAGCACGTGTCGCGAACCAGGCCCAGCGCCTGGTAGTCCTGGAGCCTGAAGGGGCCGGTGAAAGGACAGACCCTGGAGCTGCTCACGTGCCCATGTACCCCTCATTGCCAGCTTGCACCAAGATAGGCGTACATGGCGGCGCAACAGCAGGGCGATAGGGCGCTTTGAGACTGAGGGTTTGGAGATGGCAGAGGGTGTGTGCCAGCGCGCAAACGGGGCAGCAGATCATGTGAAGGGCAGCGCAGGCGCCAATTGGGGGAAGGCGCAGTCGAGGTGGTGTTGTTCGCTCAGCGTCTGTGCACGGGTCGTTCTTAGGGCAGACGCTCGCTTCCTCAAAACAACTTCGATCCTCTTCTGCCCGTTGATCCACACAAACACCTCAACAACTCCGCCCACCGTCTATCCTTCCATACGCACCTGCACCACCCCCCACAGTCCCCCGACTACCACAAACCCCCCCAACTCAACCATCACAATGGCGACTGAGGTACGTCGTGCTGATTCTGCCCCATCCCCCCGCTACTGTCCCCGGCGGGATGCCCCTCTGAGCCCCGATAATCCCCAAGCAAGCAACGCAGGCTAACCGTCCGCAGCGTGAGAGGTACGAGACAGCTGCCCGAGACAGCGCCCGCCAGTAATTGACGTCGCAATAGCAAGACTTTCCTCGCCCGGCTGTGCGAACAGGCTGAGCGTTACGATGGTAAGTCTCCGCGCGCTCCCTCCGCTGGCCGCGCAAGCTAACAGTCGTGCAGAGATGGTTACCTACATGAAGGTCAGTTTGCTCGCCCGTCGCTGCTCACCCCAACTCACATGCTGATTGTTTCGCAGGAAGTCGCCAAGGTATGCCCGACCGCATCCGCTCCTAAACGAGCAGGCGCCCGCCACAGCGCAGGCTCCCATCAGCGCCCGGCTAACGCAGCATAGGTCGCCGGTGAGCTCACCGTTGACGAGCGCAACCTTCTGTCTGTCGCCTACAAGAACGTTGTCGGCACCCGACGCGCGTCGTGGCGCATCATTTCGTCCATCGAGCAGAAGGAGGAGTCCAAGGGCTCTGAGAAGCACGTCGGCACCATCCGCGACTACCGCCAGAAGATCGAGACCGAGCTTGAGCAGGTCTGCCAGGATGTCCTCAACGTCCTCGACGACTCCCTCATCCCCAAGGCCGAGTCTGGCGAGTCCAAGGTCTTCTACCACAAGATGTGCGTCTACACCGCTTTCTCCGCTGTTTTCATTGCAAACAGGGCTAACACCGGCACAGGAAGGGCGACTACCACCGCTACCTTGCCGAATTCGCTTCCGGTGAGAAGCGCAAGGTCGCTGCGACCGCTGCACACGAGGCTTACAAGGTATGACGCAATGGCTACCCAGCAACATGAAACCATCTAATCCCGCAACACAGACGGCCACCGATGTCGCCCAGACTGAGCTCACACCCACCCACCCCATCCGTCTCGGCCTTGCGCTGAACTTCTCGGTCTTCTACTACGAGATCTTGAACTCACCGGACCGTGCTTGCCACCTTGCCAAGCAGGCCTTCGACGACGCCATCGCTGAGCTCGACTCTCTGTCCGAGGAGTCCTACCGCGACAGCACGCTCATCATGCAGCTCCTCCGTGACAACCTCACTCTCTGGACGTCATCAGACGGTAACGAGGGCGAGGCCGCCGCCACCACCGACGCACCCAAGGAGGAGGCCAAGACCACTGAGGACGCACCCGCTGCATCCGAGCCCCAGGCCGAGGAGCAGCCTCCTGCTGCCGCCCCTGCCCCCGCCGCTTAAGCACACTCTCCCTCTCTCGACCTTGTGTATCCTCAGCCGTCGTCATCTGTTCTCGAATAGACGAAGGAGGCCGGCAGCGAGTGTCCTACGGAGTTGTACGTGTTCTGTGTGATTTCAAAAATTGGCTTTGGCAGCAAGCGGTTCGGTACGGTCGAATTCCCCATGACTGAATGTATTTCCCTTTACTCTCCTATTGCCGGCGCTGTCCCATCGAGCACGCAGTGTGTTGGGGTCGCGTTCCGCACACGACTCTAGTACTTCTGAGCTCTTCCTCATGAGAGTCTTGGGCTGCTACCGGCGAGATAGGGCTGCGTTCGGTACGTCGGATGCTACCCTCAATTCCCCCATGTTTTCGTTTTGGCAGCACATAAACACCTCGATCCTATGCCGACAGAGATGTTTGACATCCTCTTGGTGATTCTGGGAGTCAGGACATCAGTTTCGATGGCCGGTAGAGCAGTACGCAAAGCTCTGGAGGGCTTCATGTCATCATACTGCACTCTTAGCTAGCCAAAGGAATCGCTACTTCAATCTTGCACTCTTATGCTGTGATATGACTTAAACCTTGAGGCGCGTCCATTCTGACTCACTGCAACGTGCATATATGTCGTCGATCTGGACTCTGATCGGTCCTTTTCCATGTGCCAGACCCCGTGGGATGAACCGCCCCACCACTTGGAGCCGAGCGACCTCCCCGCCCAACTTTTCCGTTTCTCATGTCGCGTCGCGTATGGCAAAAGTTCTGAACCAGCCCTCCATGGGCAAGCGGCGCTCATAATTCCTTGCAAAGAATTTCATTCCCTAGAGGCCTATTGCTACCCTCCGCACGACCCATATAAATCACGACCGCCCGCGCAAAGCCAAAAGAACCATGGCCTACACCAAAGACTACTACCACATCCTGCAACTGCCCGCGCCAGGCTGGACCTCGAAACAGCAAACCAGCCCAGCAGAGCTCCGCCGAGCATACAAACTCGCCCTGCTAGCCGCGCACCCAGATAAAGCCAGCGCCGTCGCCGCCACGACCACGACCACGACCACGAACGCAACGCAGACGAAGACGAAACCCGCGTACACTGTCGACGACGTCAAAGAAGCCTACACGACCCTCGCAAACGCAACCTCAAAATCCGAATACGATAATTGGTTCTTGCGACATGGCGATGGGCTGATCACGACGACGACGGGCAAGGAGGGCACGAGGGGGGAAGTACAGTTGTCGAGTGATTTTGTGTTGGGGCTTGAATTGCTCGATTTGGCGGATTTTGAGATGTGGGAGGGGGATGGTGTGGATACGTCTGCTTCTATGGGTGCGCAAGGAGGAGAAGGGGCAGAAGGGCAGACGACGTGGACGCGTGCGTGTCGATGTGGTGCAGACAAGGGTTTCAGTATTTTAGAAGAAGAGCTGGAGGATGCGGAGGAGAGGGGCGAGAAGGAGGTGTTGGTTGGGTGTGTGGGGTGTAGTTTGTGGGTTAGAGTTGGGTTTGAGGTTGAGGTTGAGGGTGGGTGATGGGAGTCGGCAGAGAGTGTACCACTGCGGTATTGGCGATGTCATTGAGATGGTGAATGACTTTGTCGACTGTCCGCCCCTCTGGCCCTTATGCTGTCGTCGAAGCTTACTTTGGGCACGATGGCTTTTGCGACTGCTAAAGCGTCAAAAAGACGACTGCTAAAGCGCCAAAAAGACATGCTGGGTCTGATCTTGTCATCCAGCGCATTTGACAGTCATGGCCCCAGGGCGCGCACTGGTTCCTTCAGTCCGATGTCTGATTGATGTGATTACACTAGACTATTGAAGCATGTAGTTGGAAGTACTACTACATGCTTCAATAGTCTAGTGTAATCACATCAATCAGACATCGGGCTTCGGCGTGTACGTAGCGCTGCTTTGCCTCTGGGGGAAGACAGTGGGGAAGATCTGTGCAGGGAGGTTTGCTGGATCATAGCATATTCCAAACCGAGAAGAGACTTAGGAAAGAGAAAGGATAGCATGTGGTCCAAGTCTTCCTTTCGAGCCTGCTCGAAGAGACATACATGCGGTCAGCAAGGCGGTAGTCCATCTAGACACATGATTACGGTGCTTCGACGAGCACATATCACGAAAAGCCCAGCACCACATAGATGCCACGATGTGATATGTCTGTTAGGAATGGCAGATAGAGGGAAATCATCAACCCAGTGAAGCGGAGAGTTTGACCTGAGCCGGAGGGGGCATCAGTTTATTCATCTATTCTGATAAGGTAAAAAAGCCATTGGGTAAGAAAGTCTGGGTATAGAGACATGTATAAATGAGAGACATGTGATACAGCCAAAGCAAGGCTGTACCAGTAATTGAGACATCCCCCCCACGCTGGTTATTATTGAAAAGACAGAAACTCCACCAACGCCAGTCAAAGCAGAGCCCATGCAGCTCACCTTAATCACATCTCCGACTGTGTCGGCAGCATCGCCTTGAGCTCATCGACCTGCTTCTGCAACGCAGCCTTGTCCGCCTCAAGCTGCGGCTTCCGCCTTCTAATGCGTCTTCCGCTTGGGCTTATGAACATTCGGTCCGATCAAGTCGCCGTTGTCGTCAAGTACCATGCCCTGCTTCTTCAGCATACTTCTGACCTCTAGCTCCAATTTCGCAAATGTGTCGACATGCGGGATCCCATATCTCTCACACGTTATCTGAACGTTGTCCCATTTATGGTACCGTGCGTCACAGCAAACCACCACCTTTTTGGATTTAGCGAACAGACCCAACTCGAGCAGAGAGACTGGGCTGTTGGTGTCGACATCGAAGAAGAAGCAGATGACGTCTGCTTGGTCTTGCGCGTCCAGTTCCCAATCGATTTGTGCTCGCATTCCTGTAAGTCCATTATTATCTTTAACGCGAGCCATGGCTGGGTCCCAATCACGGTCCGGTCGTCGTGGATCGCACACGGTGATGGGTAGGTCCGAAAGTAGCTGTGCCATGAGCGACTGCCACTTGACCGCTTTACCCATCTCTATACTACCAGCGGTAAAGACGTTGAATCTTTGGTATGGAGGCGGATCCACGGCATTTCCACCTATAGTAATCGAGTACTTAGGGGTAGAGTGCTTAAAATCTTTGTGTCGTACTGGCGGCGGTGATGGCAACTTTGGAAGTTGGGCATCCCCAATCTTTTCTTTTCCCGTAAACGATAGTTCAGGCTTGTTTTCCTTAGTCGACTCGCTGCTGGTAGCCTCGTTTTTATCTTGGGACTTCTCGGTCATATTGGACATGATTGAGCTCTTCGTTAAATGGCTTGTCAACTGCTGCAGTCGGTTTTTGGCGGTGAAAACTCCGGAACTGGTAGGGAAAGTAGCTGCTCGGGCTGTAGGGGTGTATGAAGAAGGCTGATGGAAAGTGTGGAAGCTGGAAATGCAAGTCAGTTCCGTGGTTCTTATGCTTCTTGGTGGGGTCTAGTCATACCGGGCTAATGACATAGCTTGGACCCTTGAGTCCGGTTTGTCTGGGGTCTCGGGGCAGTCGTGGAACGATGCAAACGGAATCGCACACGGATGCTGTTGGCAACGCAATCGACTCAGATGTTGTTTGTGATACGAAACTGTGACTGGAATGACGGGGCAGATATTTCGCAATGCGCATCGCTTTGTCCTCTTTATCTGCGCTTCATTGAAGCTGCCTGGATGTTTGGCGCCTGGGATCCACAAGGTTGAGGCGCAGACCCCAACAGGGCGGCGGCTGACAGTTCGCATGGCGGTAATTCATGCCATACACTGCACGCGCGCGATTCTTCACACACCGACTTCTTCAGTCTAGGATATTGCTCATACATTGGGTCGGTATCGGGGCAGTGCTGCTGGTGTCTTGTTCGTTCTCATTGTACCTAGGTACCCGTGGCGTCTGCGGCAAGGCTGTCTAAGGCTGCTATTCAAGGCAGTTGCCCGGACCACGCGAAGCAATCGTGTTAATCACACAGCTACACACTAGTCTATTGAGTAAGTGATCTGGTGATGTTGGAATTGGTGTACGAGGTCACGGACTTGGCGGGCAGAGTTATCGCGATGAGTAGATGGTAGTCATAGCTAAGGCTGAAGCTCACATAAGGGCGCGAAGAGGCTGGAGCACGTTAATCACACTAGCACCGAGTATTACCTTCCCCACATAAAGAATGTGGATCACGCCTTGACGCCCGCGTTAAGAGAAGCCCTGGTCATAAGAGGAACCCGGTGTGGCGATGCAGTCACAGGTGCCACATCACATCAGAATCAATCATGGAGTCGAAAAGGGCCTAATTATCGCCTAGCGTACGGAATGCTGACTGACAACGATTCATAGGCTCAAAAGCCTATATGAACAGTCAAACCACGTCTGCCTACGATTTCCAGCGACGCATTGTTAATCACGCAAACAAGAAAGAAATGAACATGCCAATCGCCGATCACTTTCATAGTGCATCTCCAGTTCCTGTCCGAAACATCCAAGAAAGCTCCTTGTACACAGAAAAAATTAAACACCTACCTGCCAGAAGTCTACATTGCTGTAGGGAATGTGTAAACTTCAACTTTCATACTAATGTAGACAGTAGAGCACCTGTTCAATTTTATCTTTCTATAACGTGAAAGAAAGATGGAACATGGGTAGCTTTACACAAAACCTGGTTCCTGCGGCCTCAAATCTCGGCCTAATGCACCAATCTCACCAACGTTGTCTCCCCATCCAAGGTCTCACTCTGACCGGTCTCACCTCCGACGTTTTGGCAGGAGATCATGGAGGAATTTCTTGCCCTCGTTCTTCTAGACGACAAGGTTGCTCATGAGCGGGTTTTCGTGCTTCTTTCCCCTCAACGTCAAGGTCGGGGTACCATGACCTCTCGCAGTGTCTGCCGGTGTGCTGCCAAAGCCAGCCGGCTTGCGTGCGGCCACCTGATTCGCCAACTGGGTCTGGTTGTGGTCCTCCGGCTTATCCATGATCTGGAAACAGAGTGAAGTGTCTGCAGTAGTCATAGTACAAAGACACTTGATGCCCACGAACTTGACAGGAACCGGCTCAGCTTGTACCCCATGCTTCTTCTTCATCGTTTTCGAAAGGGCTTGGAGGTCGAAGCTGGACCTGGAAGCGGCCGGCGGCGCAGCCTGAAAACGTGACTCAGTAGGATCGTGGAGGTTGCTCATCGATCGACTAGATCGCAGGTCCTTCAAAGTGGGTGCACCACCACCGCGCTTTTTTGGGAACTTGGGGAGCGTAGGTAGACGTTCTAGGAGCGACTTCTTCGGTGTCTTCTTGAACTCGACTGGGACTCTCCGTGCGCGCCACGATCGACCACAGCCTTCGCAGACGACGCCAAATCGTATAGCCCTGGCGCTGTCCTCAGACAAATGGATCACCTCCGGGTCGTTCATCGGTTGGAATTGTTTGACCAGAACCCGAGGAGACCGTTGTTGCCGGGTTGGCGGCGCAGGATAGTTGGCAGGATGTTCCTCCAGTTTGCACTTAGCACAAGATCGGTGGGTACATTCGCAGCTCAGAACGTGGAGTGGATGGATGTGTGGTTGAGTGTAGACCTTGTGGAGACGGTTACACTTGCAACAGCGCCACTTGCCGCTCGAGTGCCCCTTGGGTCTCAGGTTTATATCTTTTGTGAGATCGTACATCGCTGTTTGAAACGTCTGTCAAGCTGTTAGCACGAATAGAAAGATTCCTCAGTACCGCGTTGGCAAAGCATAGCAAGGGAGCTACATACTAGTAATAAGTTAGCAAGATATCCTGAGAGCTATTCGAGGCGGCTACTTTACCCTCGGCAGAAACGTAGTGGCTGTTGGGGTCGGGCCTGACGGGTTTGGATTTGGGTTTGCGATTGGGGTCGGAAACTTCCCAAGCCCATTTCATTCTCTCATCCTCTGTCATGTTTGATAAGTCCGTTCCTATTTTCCGTGGGCCGCCAGGATCTGCGAGTGAGTCTGTACGTTCAGGAAGCGCGTTCTTGTTGCGTCCATCTGGTTGGTGATCTGACGATGAGGACGGTAGAGCGCTGAGGCCAGAACCGTGACTTGGCAACGAGGACGTCAGGCGTTCTGTGCCTTCAGGGAGCGGGCCGATGAAGTGCTCATCTGTATGTTCGCCAGAGGCAGAACCGTGATCTGGCGATGAGGAAGCCGCCGGGTCGGAGTCCATACGTTCACCTAGCTCGTCGTCGGTGTGATCTACTGACTGGTTGCCAGAGCCAGAACCGTTTCCCGACAGCGATTTTGTCCAGGGGATTTTTCCCGTGGGGTAGGCCATGGCGGAGAGCTTGCGTGGTGTAGACAGTGAGGGATCTGCAGAAGCAAGCGGCGAGAGTGCAACGAAGTGGAGGAAAACGAAAAGCCGAGTCGGCGGTGATGCGGTGATATTGAGACTCCGAAAGCAATCCTCGGTGAATAGCGGAAGAGTAACGATGGCGGAGCTAAAAATGAGGTGAACGCGAGTGAGTTGGGTTATGCGGATACAGCGTTTGCGTTTGCACACGGGAGCCTGGAGAGTTCACGAGGTGAGCTGCATTTTAAACAATCAACGCTAGCACTTGGATCTAACGTAGATTGGAAAGAGTGTTGTAAGTGACAGTCGCTGCTCAGAATTGAGTGTGAAGGTGCGAGGATGCGCAGTGTGTCCTCCCTCATTTAGCTGTGAAGTGCAGGAAAGCAGCAGTATTGAGTCAAGAGCAACGTAAAATACAGCAATCCCAATGCGACGCAACTCAGGCGCAAACCCGACTATTCAATCATATCTAACATTTCACTGAGATGATCAGTCTGCATTCATTGCCATGATCTCTTCGCAGGCAAGTGGAGGAAAGTATTAGTCTGACGCCAACCTAAGAAAAAAGTGAACACCCTAGAGTCTCTAGGGCTACGTTGACGTTGGGTCACCTACTTTGCAAGTTTCTGTCTTAATGTAGTCTGCAGACCTGTTCAGTTTTTTTTGCCTGAGGTGGTCTGATAATCGAGCTAGAATGTCCTCGTAGAACCTCGCCTGAGGAGGCCGGCATGCGGGATGATAAGCGAGATGTATTTGTAATCTGCCCGTCTACTTCAGTTTAACCTGTAGCACACCCCTCCATGCCTGTAGTGCGCTATCAACATATTCAGTTGCGTAGAAGTCGACATCGTCGTCACTCAGCACATGCTTCAGTGCCTCACCCGTCTTGCCCCACTGCACCTGCGCCTTGATCGCAGCACGACCTCTCTGTTCGATGAGGTTGATGTAGCTATGCGCCACATCCCGTACCGCCTCGAAGCAATTCTTCGTCTCAATTTCCATATCATTGACCCAGTTCTTTGGCAACATGGCCTTCATGCGGTGGGTCTTCGCATTGATGACCTTCTCGCGTAGGTGTTCGATCAACTTGATGAGTGCGCGCAGGACTTCGAGCTTGGTATAGCAGGACATTAGCATATTCTCGTGGAACATGGTGGGTTCGTCTTCGGGTTTTTGGTGCGTGGCGCCAGGCATACGCAGGTTCTCCATTGCAAGTCGCATTTCGGAAACCTGTTCCAGAAGTGCTTCCAGTACCCCAGGAAGCCCTTCGAAGGAAAGTCCTGGCAAGGTCATCGTCTTAACGATGAGGTTGATTGCATCCCATGTGTCCTCAACTTGGTATTCCGCAAGCGTCATGTCAGGCTCAGTTTCCCAGACATGATCCGGAGGCATGGCAACTTGGTGTATCCATTTGCCCTGGAACTCCAACACCTGTGTCTCTCTATAGAGAAGTCTACTGCTCGCGTCCCAGATATCAAGGCTCTTGGCCAGCCAATGAACTTCAGGAAGGCCGTTGGGCATGATGTATGAAAGTGGTCCAGGATGCTGACTGTGCTCGTAGTTGGGGAATATGGTTCTATCCACGACGTCCTTGATATTCCGGTAGCCTGCATGGATTAGCCAATTTCCAGCTTCGAAATGAGTGTTAACATACTACTTGGGTCGATAACGGGAAGATTATCGATCGGTTCACCCTTGAGTCGTGCTATCCGACGGCTCTCTGTGTTGCATATGTGCTTTGTCAAGCTCGACTTGAAATCCCGTTTCGCGGCCAAGAGTTCCATAGCTTGATCCCATGGAAGCGACTGGAGATCAGAACATACTGCCTCATTAAGCTTGCGTTCCATCCTCTCCATTGTCCCGACAGCTTTTCCTAGTTCCTCTTCGGCTGAGAATCCTTGGTAGCCTTTGGCACCAAATGGATGTGTCAGTGAGATGCGTGACAGAACATATGGTGACAAAGTATGCACTAGCATCTCCTTGCATTTGGTGTGGCTGTACAACTGGAAAGCGGATTTTCCTAGACCGAGGTTTAGGTGCAGCCGTGCAGCAAGTAGTGCCAGCGGTCTGTTTTGCTTTTCTTTATCGCTCGCCACCAAATGGCGCGCTAACATTGCAGCTTGAAGGAGAACTCGTGAGTTTGGCGTATTTCCGAACGGATGATCGGGCTCTTCGTTGCGCATAGCTTCTTCGTGAATCCAGAGGAGTGTGTATATTGCGACAAAACCTTCAGGCGACCTGGGTGTCCGTAACTGAGGGGCTCGCAATGCGGCGATCAAAGGTACCTCCATGAGCCCTTGCCACCTTTGAGCAGATGGTGTCGAGAGTGATATCCAGAAAAGGTAACACAACTTCAGATGATTACCGCAATGAACAATCCAGTCTTGAGCCGGGTACTGATTCTGTGCCAACAACTTCCCCGCGTCTTCGTATTGATTTTGCACAAAACCCCAGAGATCTCCTCGATCGTCTGAGGTCATCCCGTCTAGGAATGGTCGAATATCTGCGTAACATGTGATAAGGTTCGCGTGGTTCTTCCAGTACGTCTTACAGTCGGCAAGCATTGGAGTTCCTGGAGCGACATTCTGGCGAAGTGTCATGTACGCAAGTCTCAAGGGGCGGTCTTGGCTTTGGAACTCCTCCGGGTTGAAAGTACGACTTGTGATATCGGAGATCAGGCGAACAGCATCGTCAGCGGAGCGTGTTGCGTACGCGGCGGCTAATAAGGATGTCCAAATATCTTTCTTCCAGGCACAAGTCTCTCGAAGGCTAAGAACGTCAGCAATAAGTAGGGTTTGGAAGTCGCTGCAGCAACCCGCAGCCACTTCACAATGTTACACTTCGCCGCTGACTCAACATACCTTTCCTGCTGTGATATAATGCGCTCAACGTACGCAAGACACTGGCTTTCAAGTAGAGACCATTCTTTACTCTGCCGTGCAAGTCTAATCTTCATGCCCCACAAGTCACCCCGATGTTTCGTCATAAGGTCCTGGAGGGCTGCAGGCGGGTGGTTCCAGTGTTCGAACAGCTCGCTACACTTCGCTTGCCGCGCGAAGATCTCGCCCATAAAACGCAAGTCGCGTATATCCTTGAAAGCGATGGGGTCATCTGGAGCCGCCTCGTATGCTTGTTTCAAAAGTCTACGAGCCAGGTCGAATTGAAGTTTGCTTTTCATCTCGCCCTGGGGAAGCCCACGCTGCTGTTCGGCTGCGAGTTGAATAGCGAGTGTTTGCGTGAAGTGAGCATGCTTTTTTGCAGATGTTGATCCAGCGCCCTCCTTGGTTTCTTTGCTGTAGTGAAAGACAGCCTGTCAAGCGTTAGTACTAAATCTAATCTCACCCTGTTTTAGTTTTATGTGGTAGCGAGAAGGCGCGCGAAGATGCGCATTCTCAAAGGTGTCGAGATACAATCAGGTCGTGGCCAGATGCCGGTTTCTTACGTACCAGGCGGAAGTCTTCCCAGCATTCCTCCGCCAATGCCACATTCGCTAGAGCAGACCAGAGATCTTGACGGTCTTCCTTGCGTCCCAAGGCTTTCGCAGCACGTTGCCAAACTTTGAGGTTCCCATCACCCACTCCGCTGATGTTCAGGTTGTTGTTCTGATCCCTCCGCGTAGCGTCGGCTAAGATCTTATATAAGTAGGACAGAAGCCGAATATCGTTCACCCCTGGCTGCTCCCAGGCCTGTTGTACCAGACTTGCTACATCGGTGTCCACATTGTTCAACGTAAGACATAACCGAGCTTTCCATGCCTGCTCAAAATTAGCCTGAAGATGAAATTTCCGAGGTCGACTAGCATACCAAGAGAAATGGGTTCTTGGGCGTCTTCTTGAGCGATTTTTGTACGAACGAGTCTGCGAACTTCGCTTTTGGGTAGTCGCGCTGAGCCTTACACAGCTTCTCCCAACTGTTGCAAGCCATGACAGCCGGCACCGAAGCGCGGCTTGATTTCGCAAAAATAGGAACGACCGATGAAAGGCTAGTGATGCTCGATCAATGTCAAAAATGAGGTGATTGGCTGGTTGGAATTATTCGTCGTTGGCGGGGATGTGTAAGGACGGGAAAAGATGATGTAGGCGTTCGGGCGGAAGTCGGAAGCGAGCGCCTCCGCTTTAGGTTCTCTCACCAAGCAACTGCACCTCTCACTTGCCCCCTGCCTAGATTCTCAACACCTGCGCACGAACAAAAAGCAGAAATACGACGCATCTGGCTAATTATAAACTCGTAGGGTTTTACAGTCATTTCATTGCAATCCATGTACTATCTCAAGCTCGGCAAGTTGAATCGGGAAAGCATCTCCTATAAAGAAACCTTACATCTCGCCACGAGACAAGCAGTCTAGTCAACCTCCATATCCATATCCTCATCTCCATCCACCTTCGCAACCGAACTAACACCCCGCTTCTCTACGCGCCTCTTGAACTTGTTCTTCATGTTTGCAGGCCGCGCGCTCAACACGCTCAAAGGCGAGCCGCTTCCAACCATGAGCTTACTCTGATCCACGTTTCCAACACCGGCCTTCTTAGCTGCTCTCCTACGCTCCATACCCGCCTTGCGCTCCGCCGCCAGTGACATAGCAGTATCTCCAATCTCGATCAGATCCTGGTTCGCGCCCTTGACCATGTTGTAGGCGTTGCGGAAGTCGGCGTACTCAGGACCTTGGATGTCGTCGCTGAATGCTTTTTGGTCTGCTTCGGTCCAGGTCTTGAATTCGTGCGCGAGGACGGCTGCTACGACTAGTTGCTGCAACATATCGTCTTCGTATTTGCAGATACGAGATGGGCTACCCAACGGAGCAAAGGTAGCGTTGATGGCGTCTTTGATCGCTGAGGGAGTTTCGTTGCGCACGTTAACGAAGAGCTGGACGAGCTTAGTGTGGGCAGCTGACTTCAGCGCGTCGTAGTCGAGCTCTTCAGCCAGAGCGTACATGTGGAGATGGAAGGTGTAGTCGTGGATGTCGACTAGAGCGGTCGTAGCGGCGGTGGGCGGGTTGACATCTGGAATTACAGTTGCGTGATAGAACTTGAAGTTCTTCTGAATGAGCTGCTTGCTACCGTCCCGGACGACCAGGTAGTCCGATGTGTAGATGAAATTGACGATTCGGTCCATGAGGATAGGATGGAAGTGAGGCGGCAGGTTGACGAACTCTGGTGGGTTTGGAATTGTTGCCTGGTCGTGTTAGTCTCAATCATAGTAAATATCAAGACGGGAAAGCTTACACCACCAGGAAACAGTCCCTCCTGTAAAGCCTTCGGGCCGCCAATCAACATGACAGAATGTATCTTGAACTCCACACCAGCGGCGGTAATCAGATTGAAGTCGCGACCGATAGGCGTTTCAAGTAGGAAATGAACATGATTGGCCTGCAACTTCTTCGCGGCAGGTGGATGGGCGTAGGGTTTCTTGAAGACCTTGCACAAGAGATTGCGGGCGCTGCGCGTATCGATCTTCTCTGGCTGGATAGACGCAGTCTCGCGTTGCAGCATCGGCATCTGGGGTACCTGGGGCACCGGAAGCACCTTGTATGTGCGTGAGGGATGTACGTCGTCCATCGCGAATGAAGGTGTAGGAATAGTAAATCAGAGATCCCCAAAAGTGTCTTGTGGCGCGAAGTTGAGGTGGGAAGTGGGGTGAGACAAAGTGAAGGCCTGTGGGTTGGCAAGTCGCGTGCGCTATATCGTTTGGCGCTTTTCACGACAATGGCGCGATTTCGCGCAGGGTGAAGAGACACAAGTGCAGGCACGTAGGAAACCGACCAATCCGCGACAATCTTTTGCATGAAGCATCCACATTACTCGTACAATCATATCCCAAAGAGGCCCAGCTCTTAGAATGTCGGCCTTGTCCTCTCACCCTTCCACAACCCCATAACCTCTCCTGTTTCCCCAACCCACTCTCTGACGCCAGTGACGACAGCCTTTGCCATGCCAGCGTTTGTTCCACTTCTCGCCCTCCTCTTTCCTTCCGTGCCACTACTGGCTCCACCGACGCCAATGCCTGTTCCGGTCCCGTATGATGCTGGTGCTGTTCCTGGCGTGATGTAGCTGCTACCGTCTCCGGTCGCGTACTCTGAGCCCATCGAGGGAAGCACATTCTCGCCAGCCGACAAGGAGACGAACAAGGCGAAGGGGACTAGCCACACGCAGAGGCCGAAGTAGGATGCGATTTCGGTGAAGGTAGGAATGTTGGCATCGCGAGAGTAGGGATACGAGGAGTACGTGTTTGCCGGTGGAGCACTGAAGTGGCGGAACCACAGGTAGTGGTTCGCGATTACAAGAGCTGGAAATGATGGTCAGCATTGCGCCGGTAGAGACTTCCAAGCATCATAGCATACCACAAGAGGCCAAGAAGAGTGGATCCGTGAGCTTGACGATAGGGAACCGCCTTAGGTTCTGCGCATAGATGAAATGCGACCCGACACTCAATGCGCTGAGTCCAATTGGAAACCTATCGACTACGAGAAGGAGTGTTTGTATGCCAACGACGCCATAAATGAGCCGGTAGAGCAGTTTCTTCGCGAAGACGGTATGCTCCTCCACGAGTTCAGAAAGGTAGTACAGGCCGGAAGCTACGTTGCGTTAGCCCCATGAAGCCAAAGACCGAGAGCATCACAGCAAAGTACCTATCGCAAGCGTCAGGAACGCGAAGCCCAGGATAACGCCGACATATCCAAGCAGCGGTAATATCCACATGTTGGCTTTTGACACACTTCAGGGGAATGCGAAGAGAGATGAAGTTTGGAAGCCTGGAAGTTTGGCCGCGGCACGATGAGGTCAGTCCAAAGGTGGCATCAAGGCTAGCGGAGAAACCCGTGGACCCGTGCCAGAGTGTGGGGTCCAACTCCAAAAAGTCGTGCGAACTCTTGGCTGAAGGTGCATCGAGCAACTGACAGACACGCACGCTTTCGACAATCACTGCGCAAACGAGTTTCATATTTCCACGCGATAAGGAGAGTACTACAGTCGTTTGTCCAGCGATTCAGACTTAACAACCGCAACCATGTCTCGCCCCGAAGACATCCTGTACGCAATCCTCCCAACACCGCAAATCGCATAGCGAAGAACACAGCGCTTACCTGTCTGCAGACCACCCGATCTTTTCTACAATGACTCCGAATCGCGCAAATACACCACCTCCTCTCGTATCCAAAAGATCCAATCTACAATGACCCACCGCGCCCTCTCCCTCCTCGCGCTCACCTCGCCATCCATGATCCTCGACGTCGGCTGCGGCTCCGGTCTCAGCGGCGAAATCCTGTCGCATTCCGCTGAACAAGGCACACCCGGCGGTCCACACGTATGGATCGGTTTCGACATCAGCGCATCCATGCTGGGCGTTGCGCTGGAGAAAGAGGTAGAAGGAGATTTACTGCTGGCGGATGCGGGGCAGGGCGTACCGTTTCGGCCGGGAACTTTCGATGCTGCGATTAGCATCAGTGCGGTTCAATGGCTGTGTAATGCTGAGACGAGCGAGGAGAGTCCTGCGGGCAGGTTATCGAGGTTCTTCAACCAGCTCTATGCGAGTTTGAAGAGGGGAGGGAGAGCAGTTTGTCAATTCTACCCTAAGAACGACGCGCAGAAGAAGATGGTGGCACAGGCGGCGATCAAGGCTGGTTTTGGTGCGGGTCTTTTGGAGGACGATATGGGGACCAAGAGCGCGAAGACGTATCTTGTTCTGACTGTGGGCGGTGGAGCGCTGGATGGCGACATCACGGGCGTTGTGAGGGGTATGGACGGCGTTGACGTCGAGGACGCACGGAGAAAGGCCAAGGGCATGAAGAGGGGCGAGGAGCGCAAAGGCAGCAAGGCGTACATTATGAAGAAGAAGGAGCAGATGGAGAGACAAGGCAAAGTTGTCAAGGCCTCGTCCAAGTACACTGGCCGGAAGAGGAGGATCCAATTCTAGATATACCCACATCACGATGACGATGTTACGCATAGCACGGAGTTCTGGGTCTGGCATTTTCACGAGGGTATAAGAATGGTCAATTCAATCATGCAGCATGCTATATACCACCTACAAGTACAGCTCTATTCACATTCCAGCTGGTAGTTGTACAAGTGCCATTGCGTCCAATCGTTAAGAAAATATGTTATTGCTCCATATCCTAGGTTAACCCAATGTGAGCCAAGGCCTAGATGTGACGGTATTATCGCGCTAGATCAAAGCTTAGCAAACACGAAGATCATGATGGCTAAATCATGCCTTCTCCATCTGGTTCAGGACTGCGCGGGTGAACTCGTGGGTGGTGGTGTTGCCTCCCATGTCGCGTGTGCGGGCGGTACTAGATGATGTTAGGCATGTGTTGCTCTTCATTTGGAATTCAAACTTACCCGTCAGCAATAACCTTGTAGACGGACTGCGAGATGCGGTTGGCGTGGTCATCGAGACCAATGTGACGGAGCATCATGGCGGCGGACAGGATCAGAGCAGTGGGGTTGGCCTGGTCCTTGCCCTTGATGTCGAGACCGACGTGACGGCATCCAGGCTCGAAAACGGCGACGTTACGGCCCATGTTGCAACCGGGGACGATACCAGGACCACCAACGAGACCAGCACCAATGTTGGAAAGGATACCTCCGTACAAGTTGGGCATGACCATGACGTCGAATTGCTGGGGCCTTGAGACACACTGCATGGAGGCGTTGTCGACAATCATGTCGTTGGTCTCGAGAGTGGGGTAGTCCTCACCAACCCTCTTGACGGTGTTGCGGAATAGACCGTCGGCGAGCTTCATGATGTTGGCCTTGTGGATGCAGGTAACCTTCTTGCGGTTGTTGGCGAGCGCAAAGGCGAAAGCAAACTTGGCGATGCGCTCCGACTTCTCACGGGTGATGATCTTGAGCGACTCGACGACGCCGTTGACCGACTGGTGCTCGAGACCAGAGTATTCACCCTCGGTGTTCTCACGGATGATGCAG